GGTTTGTGAGGTTTATAAGGTTGTTGCAAAGAGGAAGGGGCTCTCATGAAGCAGTTTGCCATTGCAAGAAATGCTGCAAGAGAAATCCTAGGAGGAGAGCTGGGAAAAAAGGATTAAATTTATTTCTCTCCAAACCAGAAGCTGGGGTGGGGGTATTGCTTGAGGATATGCTGACATTTCTCAAATGTTGACACAATTAGGCAAGGAAAGAATGAACCTTTAAAGAATGCTGGGAAAATATCAAAACCAGCTCTGTTTTCAGAGATCCAAGCAGCAGATAGCCACAGAAAATGCCACTGCCTCCATGCATCTTTGCTGTTCTTGTTGTTTGCCATCAAGTTGACTTCATCTTATGGCAACTCTATGAATGAGAGACCCCTAAGGGCATTGTTCACCAGCAACCCTGCCCAGGTCTTGCAAACTAAGGACAGCATGGCTTCCTTGACTGGATCCATCCAACTGTAATGGGGTCTCCCTCTTTTCCTAATGTCTTCCTCACATTAGCAAGCATTATCTTCTTTCTTAATGAGTTACGTTGTCTCAAGATATGCCCAAAGTACAACAGCTTCAGTTTAATCATCGTTACTTCTAGAGAGAGTTTGGACTTGATTTGCTCTAGACCTCTTTATTAGTCTTTCAAGCAGTCCACGGTATTTGTAGAACTCTCCTCCAGTGCATTTCAAATGAGCTGATTCTCTTCCTTTCTTCTTCCTTTCCTCACTTTCACTTTCTTCACTGTCCATTTTCACTAGCATATATGGTGCTTTTACAGCCACAGGTAACCCAATAGATAGCCGATGGGTCTCAGTTTATATAGTCATTGCCCTCCTCCTCCTTCTTCACCTGCTGAGACATCTATTGATTTTAGTTTGTGCTAAGGGATGGGGTGAATTTCCATAACAGCCAGTCCTTTGGAAAGATGTACAAGAAGGCTCAGCTAGTCAACAAGAAGGCTCAACTAATCAACAAGAAAGCTCAACTAGTCAACAAGAAGGCTCAGCTAGTCAACAAGAAGGCTCAACTAGTCACAGGAAGGCTCAACTAGTCTACAGGAAGGCTCAGCTAGTCAACTCCAGCCTTCCTAAATGCATACAAAGAGAGAAAGAGAAGGGTGGGGGGTCTTGTTTGTCCTGTGTAGACAGGAAAACAGACAAGTCTAGAATTTCACCCACAATGTGATAAAATCACACCTCTTGCAGGTGATCAGCTACATTTGTGAGCCCAGAAATCTTTGGCTCAGCCTTTGCAGCCCCTTTCTACTTGTTTGCAAACGAGTGTGTTAATATCGGTGCTTGTTTGCATAGATATTGTATAGATATTAGATGGGTCCCAGTTTAGTCTTCCTCTTCCTCTTCCACTTCTTCTTTTACACCTGCTGAGATGTCTAATGATTTCAATTTGTGCTACAGAAATGGAAGTCTTCGAGGCCTCAGGGAAGCAAAGCTTAACCCAGCGTGTCATGCCACAGCTTGGCAGAAGATACTTGCATGCTCACAAACACACATATGTATGCACACACATACACCTTATTGTCTGTCTCTCCAAGCCTTGGAGTGTGTAGGAGGAATGGCCCATCCTCTCTCCTCCATCTTCCCCGGCTGGCTCTCTGAACACGCACAATGCAGTGCAGAGGCTTTTACCAGAGAGCATCCTGCCTGCATCCACTGCTGCTGGCTGTCTTTTCTTCCCACAGACAAAAGCACACCTCTGGATGCAAAGGTCAGGAGTAGAAAAGGAAGAAGGGGCTATTAGAAGTGAATGGAGCCCTGGCCTTCCAGAGGCAAAAATCCATTAGCTCCTCCATGGCAGAGAGGAGTCAGGTCAGGTCTTGGGAACCCGATCTCTCTTCTTCCTCCTCTTCCGCCTCCTTCTCTCTTGCTTTCGAAATATTTATATCATGTTCAGCCCAGGAATGGACCCAGATGCTTGGAAAGCTGAAGTACCATTTAAGGATTGCTTTTACGCTGACCCTGGGAGCTTTTTTTTTAAAAAAAGGAATTTTTTTAATTACATTTTTATTATCTTATAAATGCATAACACTCTACTCATACATCTATTTAAATACAAATGCATTAGATAACATATAAACATCAACAAACATAAAAAATGACTTCCCTTCCTTTATTATGATTATAAGTTATTTAGATATTTTGATTTTCATATATTTTCCTGAACTCTTATTTTCTAATGCATAAAGTATTCTCAGATCTATATTATATTATGAAATGCATACTTTTATATCAATCTTCTTTACCCGTTCCACACCATATACAAGGCCTGAACATCTGCTACTTTTACCAAGGTCAAGTTATATGTATTAATTTTTTTAAAAACGACTCAGGCAAGGTTTTATTGGGAGATGGAGTCCTTCACTTCTTCTGGACCCAACCAGCATAGCCTTCGGTCAGCCCAAGGAAGCCCACCATCTTCCCGCAAGTGATCTGCCAGTGAGGGTTTGCTTGCCTTACATTACAATAACTTTGCCACTGCTTCCTTTCCGCTCTGCTGTCCCTTCCTGAAGATCCAGCCTCTTCATCTTCTTGGCATTTATTGTAAAACCAAGACAACTAAACCAATTTTCCAAAGTAGTGAAGGGTATCGCCATTAATTCAAATGTGACCGCAAGTTGTGAGATGTGTTTGGTTCCTGTTGACAAGAATTAATACGCTCGGAGCATGTTAAATGCAAATTGCTCCCAGCTTTATTGAACTCTGATTGATCAGATAAAGGTCTCTTTGAAAAATTAAACTGGAATAGAGTAAATTGCTGCTGAGGTTTAAACTCAAAATAAAATCTGGGATGTGTTAACAAGGGAATGGTTGATTGCAGTGGACTCCTGTTGCAGTACAAAGGGAAGTTTCTGCTCAAGAGTCTCAACACAGAGAGGGATTATTATTATTATTATTATTATTATTATTATCCCTTCAGGCTTTAACTTCCTCAGCAAGAACCTTGTATTGAATACAGAGAAGCTGCTAGTATTGAGTATAAACAAACACATGGAAAAGGTTGACCCTGTCTTAAATGTATGATAGCAATGCAGATGGTCTCAACTGTTTTCCATGTTTTTGGTGGATGTTGTTGGTCCATCATGAGTTACTAACTTAGAAGAAGTTAGTGACAGTATTTTGGACTAGGGGACCATTGGGTGTCTTGTAATTCCACATTATGTGGCTCTCTTGAAAAAGAGAAACATAATTTGTCACCAATTTT